CAGGCAGAGGGCCGGGCAGAGGGCCAGGCAGAGGGCCGGGTAGAGTGCCAGGCAGAGGGCCGGGCAGAGGGCCGGGCAGAGGGCCGGGTAGAGGGCCAGGCAGAGGGCCGGGTAGAGGGCCGGGCAGAGGGCCAGGCAGAGGGCCGGGTAGAGGGCCGGGTAGAGGGCCAGGCAGAGGGCCGGGCAGAGGGCCAGGCTGAGGGCCGGGTAGAGGGCTAGGGTAGAGTGCCAGGCAGAGGGCCAGGCAGAGGGCCGGGTAGAGGGCCGGGCAGAGGGCCAGACATTCAGGAACACAAGGCCAGGTGTCCTCCTCGAAGTCTGATCAGTTTCAGACGCAATGTAATTCTTTTTTAGCTTTGGATACATTATAAGGACGTTTTGTAAACTTTTTATAAATTGCTTCCTGTGTCCCCGTCCGGAAACAATCTCCTCACTTCCTGTCTCCTTGCTGGGTGTCCACGCAGGGCTGCCACCTGTCCCGGATTCACCTGGACAGTCCTGTACGCGCTGTTTCCCGCTTTCAGGCCAGCTGAGACTAGGGTTGCCACCTTTTCTTCAAGTGAAACCCGAAACGATCTGGCGCCGCGCGCGGCAATTTCCTTTTTTTTGGAACATATAGAAAAGAGAGCGAGGAGAGGCAGCCGGGGGAGGGAGTGAGGAGACCGGGTGTAGAGGACTACAAATCCCAGCAATACAAAATAAATAACAAGCGACATATGTGGGTGGCGCCCTGAAGTCTCCAGGGTCTTAGATGAGCCTGTGCAGGCTTTCAAGTGGCTGTGTGGGGTCTCAGGTGGGCTATGTGGGCACTCAGGTGGCTGTGTGGGGTCTCAGGTGGGCTATGTGGGCTCTTAGGTGTCTGTGCGGGGTCCCAGGTGGGCTATGTGGGCTCTTAGGTGGCTGTGTGGGTCTCAGATGGGCTAGGTGGGCTTTCTAGTGGCTGTGTGGGGTCTCAGGTGGGCTCTCAGGTGGCTGTGTGGGCTCTCAGGTGGCTGTGTGGGCTCTCAGGTGGGCTATGTGGGCTCTCAGGTGGCTGTGTTGTGTCTCAGGTGGGCTATGTGGGCTCTTAGGTGGCTGTGTGGGGTCTCAGGTGGGCTATGTGGGCTCTTAGGTGGCTGTGTGGGGTCTCAGGTGGGAGGGTCTCCGGGGGGCTATGTTGGCTCTCAGGTGGCTGTGTGGGGTCTCAGGTGGGCTATGTGGGCTCTCAGGTGGCTGTGTTGGGTCTCAGTTGGGCTATGTGGGCTCTTAGGTGGCTGTGTTGGGTCTCAGGTTGGCTATGTGGGCTCTTAGGTGGCTGTGCGGGGTCCCAGGTGGGCTTTGTGGGCTCTCAGGTGGCTGTGTTGGATCTCAGGTGGGCTATGTGGGCTCTTAGGTGGCTGTGTGGGGTCTCAGGTGTGCTATATTGGCTCTCAGGTGGCTGTGTTGGGTCTCAGGTGGGCTATGTGGGCTCTCAGGTGGCTGTGCGCAGTCTCAGGTGGGCTATGTGGGCTCCCAGGTGGCTGTGTTGGGTCTCAGGTGGGCTATGTGGTCTTTCAAGTGGCTGTGCGGGGTCCCAGGTAGAATATGTGGGTTCTAAGGTGGCTATGTGGCTGTGTTGGGTCTCAGGTGGGCTATGTGGGCTCTCAGGTGGCTGGGCTATATCTCAGGTGGGCTATGTGGTCTTTCAAGTGGCTGTGCGGGGTCCCAGGTGGGCTATGTGGGCTCTCAGGTGGCTGTGCGGGGTCCCAGGTAGAATATGTGGGTTCTAAGGTGGCTATGTGGCTGTGTGGGGTCTCAGGTGGGCTATATGGGCTCTCAGGTGGCTGTGTTGGGTCTCAGGTGGGCTATGTGTGCTCTCAGGTGGCTGTGTGGGGTCTCAGGTGGGCTATGTGGGCTCTCAGGTGGCTGTGTGGGGTCTCAGGTGGGCTATGTGGGCTCTCAGGTGGCTGTGTGGGGTCTCAGGTGGGCTATGTGGTCTCTCAGGAGGCTGTGCGCAGTCTCAGGTGGGCTATGTGGGCTCTCAGGTGGCTGTGCGGCGTCCCAGGTGGAATATGTGAGTTCTAAGGTGGCTATGTGGGCTCTTAGGTGGCTGTGTGGGGTCTCAGGTGGGCTATATTGGCTCTCAGGTGGCTGTGTTGGGTCTCAGGTGGGCTATGTGTTCTCTCAGGTGGCTGTGCGCAGTCTCAGGTGGGCTATGTGAGCTCTCAGGTGGCTGTGCGGCGTCCCAGGTGGAATATGTGGGCTCTCAGGTGGCTGTGTGGGCTCTCAGGTGGGCTATATGAGCTCTCAGGTGGCTGTGTTGGGTCTCAGGTGGGCTTTCTGGGCTCTCGGCTCTTAGGTGGCTGTGTGGGGTCTCATGTGGGCTCTCTCAGGTGGTTGTGTGCGGTCTCAGGTGGGCTATATTGGCTCTTAGGTGGGTGTGTTGGGTCTCAGATGGGCTTTGTAGGCTCTCAGGTGGCTGTGTGGGGTCTCAGGTGGGCTATGTGGGCTCTTAGGTGGCTGTGTGGGGTCTCATGTGGGCTCTCAGGTGGCTGTGTGGGCCCTCAGGTGGCTGTGTGGGGTCTCAGGTGGGCTATGTGGGCTCTTAGGTGGCTGTGTGGGGTCTCATGTGGGCTCTCAGGTGGCTGTGTGGGCCCTCAGGTGGCTGTGTGGGGTCTCAGGTGGGCTATGTGGGCTCTCAGGTTGCTGTGTGGGGTCTCAGGTGGGCTTTGTGGGCTCTAAGGTGGCTGTGTGGTCGTAGCCGGTGGGAGGAGCCGGCAGGGTGCTGCATAAAGCTTCCATGAAAACATCACAGCACCCTGCCTCAGTACCCTTTCTTAAAAGCCCTTCGGCTCCGATGCAAGCAGTGGGAGGAGTTATGCAAATATCACAATGCCTTGATGAGGGGTGGGTGTCAGCCTGCAGCGGTGGGCGTTGCTAGGCGGGCTGCATTTGCATGCTCGCACTGCTTCTATTGGTTACAGTGCAGGAGTGGGTGGTTTGTCAGGTCCCAGTGCATCCCATGTGACATGTTTCATTCACTGGGAGACAGGCCGCCCCTGGTAGGTCCTCAGCAGCGTCCCCATACTCATCGCATGAAGGGGTGGAGCCGGCATAGGAAGCTGCAGTGTGGCAGAGGTTTGCCTGGATCGCAAGGCTGATCTCTCCTACGTATTTCAGCTGCGTGGCCCTTGGCCCCCCCCCCGGAGTTCCCCTTTAAGATTTCATGC